ATATTCTATACCAATACCACAATTCAAAGGCTTCAACTGGTCTTGCTTAGTACATTGCTCAACTTCTGCATGTATATATGTGACCTAAAATTCCATGGCTTGGGTCAGGTGCATCTTAGTCCTCAAAGTGACATCTTTGCGTTTAAAATTTGAAAAAGTCTTTTGCCCTGAGCAGTGTCCTTTTGATTTCTTGACTGCTTCCTTCCATTTGAGTTGATTGTAGGTCCAAGTAAAATGAAATCTTTTGAGAACTTCAATGTTTTCTGCTCATCATTGACATTACTTATTGGTCCAGTTAGAAGGATTTTAGTTTTTATATTGGAGTGTAATCCATACTGAAGGCTGGAATCTTTGGTTTTTATCAGTGCTTCTCAACCTCTTCATTCTCAGCGTATCTCAAATAGTTAATCTCACAAAATTTCTGCAAGTTAGTATCCCTTAACTGTGCCCTCTATGTGCTTTAGTTATGAATATATATGCAACCACACATGCACATATACAGAGACATTTACAGATACACCTATAGATGCGGAAGCATATTTAACATGTTTTAAGAAATGGCATGAGAAGGCACACTGACATTCATAATCATTTACATATACCTGAAAACAGCTCGGATTGGTGGTAAGACAAAAAATATGAGGAACAATGGTACTGTTGCCAAGGACAATGAAAGCTATCCAAAGGCTTCACTTTCAAAAGTTTTTTTAAGCTTTTAAGAAAGCATTTACTGCAGCAGAAACAGCATGCTGTTGGGTGCCACTGAGCCAACCCAGTGTGACAGAGCACAATGGGTCCCTTTGGTTTTCTTGGCTGTAACCTTTATGGAAGCAGATTGCCAGGTGCTGCAGAGCAGCTAAGTGGGTGTGAACCATAAAGTTTTCAGTCAGCAGTTAAATGTTAAGGCCAGTATTCTAAGTAAAAGATGCCAATTACAGGACAAGGAATTATGCACTAACATCTACTAGCAGCCACTGGAAGCTTGGTCGAAATTTCCTCATCAGGTACTGAGATGGGCACTTTTACACGTTGCTAGTATGAGTGCAAATGGAAAACCAGCTATATGGCAATATTTATTGAGTCTTAGACCCCACCCCCTTCTGTTTTAAGCAGAAAGAATCTTTTAAAAGTCAACATTTTTAATCCAATGGTTCCAGTTCTAAGAACGTAGTCTAAGAAAATAAGTACACAAATGTATGTACAAGAATGTGCAACACATTAGGCTATATGTTCCAAACAACAAAAATAACCCAACATTCAATAGGTCATTGTAGAATAAATGATTCTTGCAATTTTTGGACTATCATAAAACCAATGTTTTTAAAGTGATGCTTTCAATGGATATTTAATGACATACTATATTGTTTTGTTAAAAAAAATGCATACAGAAAAGGTTGGAACTATTCAAATGTAAATAGTGATTTTGTCTATGTGATAGAATTTTGGGTTCTTTATTCTTTGCTACATCTAGAATTTCTGCAATAAGGACACATTTTTTAAACTCTGGGGAGGTGGGGTGTCTTTTTTTATGTAAAAGAATCTTTACTATAATAGGTTTATGATTTTTACAGCTACCACAAGGAGTGTGTATGGTCAGTTACTTTCTCGGTGCTGTCGTGGATTCCTGTAGCTGAAGTACACAGCTCAGGAACACACATATGTACACTAGCTTATTTGTTATTAAATGTCACACCAGGAATTGTGACCTCTGATATACAATAAAATATATCACTAAGGTGTACTAAAATAAGGTTATTTACTTAAAAATGATACCTAGACTTAATCTATATATAGAACAAAACAATTAATAGATAACTTAAAAAGGCACCTCTTACACCAGATGCTATATAAAACACATTTAGAGTGTTACCTATCAAGGATGAAGCTATATTTTTGGTGATTCATAATTGCATAAAATGGGTTTTTTCAAAGTCTATGTGTAGTTTTCCTAATTAAGCTGCAACAGTTTTCCATTTGACATTATAGACTTACGTTCTACTTTTTAAATGGGCAAGGGCAACATCACTAAAGGACTCAAACGATTCCATTTAAAGCACAGTACAGATCACAATCTAAAATGATGTCAATTTATTTTTTTTTCTTGCAAAAGCAGTATTCATCATATTTATTTTCCTTATGGGACGATCATTATACAAGGCTTCACGTTATGCTGACCTAGAGTCAATCTGATTTTATGAACACTTCACGTCTCTGTAGTTTCCATTCTCGTAAGACAAGGCAAAAAGACAAATCACTACAACAAAATTTAAAACGGTGTAAGAGTTACAACAATTAAAAAAAAAAAAAACCAACCAATATTTCCATGGTTGAAATTAGAAATTTAGAAACATTTCAAAATACATATATTCAAAGAAACATAAGTAATTTAACTGATGAATTCCTGGAATAAATTTAACTTTAAATTTGATCTTTGGCCAATTCAGAGATGCAGGAGTCTTTAAAAATCAAATTACTTTTTTGTTATAAACAGAAACAAAGCATCAAAAAAGGCACTGAGTATTTGCTACAGTGAATAAATAAAAAAAATCTGGCACATTCTAGGAAAACATAATTTTCAAAACATACAAGTCAATGTCAAGATTTACAAAAAAGTTCTGGACATTGGAAAGGCAACATAAAATGTTTATGAAAATATCTTTTGCGAAATATTTCCAGAGAAGAGTCAAAATGTACACTTCAGAAACTTGGTTGATAAGAAAGTACAATAAAAGCTTAAAATAAACTAGTTGGAGTTGGCAATCCCAGTTTGTCTTTTATTCTAGAAATATTTACCAGTGTGAGGAAGATTTATGAGGAAAATTCTGGGGGTTAATTTTTACTGTTAATATTCAGGTAGTGTTGGTGTTTTGTTTCTATGTTTTCATTATTTAAAGGGATGATGGACAGAGCCACCTATTTAAAAAAGTTTAACTGTTACAGTTTGGTATAAGGCTTCCAGGTATTTCCGAAGCACTAACTGTAATGCTACAGAACACTGCGAGGTCTGTCAACTGCTTGAATTGTGTCCCTACTGGACAAACTTGACAAGTAGAGGACAGAAGAAAACAAAGAATCATATCACCTCTTTAGACTTTAGGATTCTAAATATGGCAGGATTTGTGTTTTAAAGACCGTATTATGCCAGAAATGGTTTCCTACTGAACAAGTTTCCAAGCTTACTGTTATTCAACCAAGTTTTTAAAATAAAACAAAAAACAACTTTATAGTGAGCTTGTACTTCCAAGCTATCTATAATCTTCTGCTTCCATCTACCGTTTTAACATATCCAAGAGGATAGTTTGTGTTTCCTTATATACTTTCATGTTTATTAGGATAACAAATGATTTTCAAGATTTATAGTTTATCAAGTAAAAACTAAATCAAGGTTAACATGAGAGACTAAAGTAAATTAGAGCTCATAAGTGCTCTCAAATTACAAGGCAATTTAGGTTATAATATCTGTATTTGCAGTACAGAGATGGGGAAAATAATTTTTAAAGTACAAGTTATTGGGTACTGTCAACATGCAAATTTACTTATTGTTATGAACACTTCAAATTTCAATGAAATGAAACTTAATCACACATAATCAGAACTGTTCCATCTTTCCAAGCAAGTTTCAAATTTTGTGAAATTTGGTATGTACACAATTTATGTGAGTTTCATCCTTAATGCGAGCTAATTTTTTTTTTTTTTGGGTAAAATACTGATTTCTTTCCCTTTAATGTAAACTTTAAGTTTCAAATTTCTGAAATTTGTTGTGTACCCAAATACGAATTTCACCCTGAATGTTAAGTCACATTTTTTTTTACTGGATAGGCAAATTCTGATTTCTCTCTCTTTAATGTAAAGTTTTTGAGTATGTTGTGATATAATCACATTTACTTTATTTTTCATTCAAAGAAAATGGTCTGACTTGGTGTACCTATGACTTGTTTTTTTCAGACTAGGATGAAGTATAATAACTTTAAGTAATATGAAATATTGCTTGGGATAATTAAGGCATCTATAAAATATATATAGCATTTTACTGAGTAACATCTATAAAGTATATAGATATAGATATGAAATAATAGATACTAAATTTTTTTTTGGGCCCAACTCTTTTCTTTTTCTTCACAAGTTATGGAACAGAAATCATAAAACCAAAAGTTTCAAACAATTTTAGATGTTAACAACTTATTCAACAATTGTTAATAAATTTATATAAACTTCAACATAAACATTTCGAATTAGTGGTTTCTTTCATAAAGGAACATTGAAATATTATCTTTAATGAAAGATGTGTGTCGTGAGTGTATCTTAACAAAGCCTTGGATTTGGTATGCCCCATGAATGCGTTCATCCTGAAATGTACTCTCATTCTACTTTAACATTTCTGCCCCCTGGGGATCTTTTAATTTTTTTTCTCTTAAGGATGATGGGATGTGAGGTGCACATAAGCTGGTTTCTATAGTATGAATATGGTCGCAATGGAGTAGGATTTGCAAATAGAGCACATTACACACAAAATATAAATAACTTCCCTTTCAAAGTCACTGAGAGTAAAGAATACAGAATATGGTTATAGGCACTTACACTGCTATCAAATTCACTTCAAAAAGAAGTGTTTTCTTTAGAAGGGTTCATGGCATCAAAAGTTCCAATTTTGGATAGGATGCTTTTCATGACATAAAAATAATTATACACAAAAGAATGATGGTGGTGAGGAAAACAAAATCCAAATTTACAGACATTTTTAACTTCTTTTGGCTTTAATATTAAAATAAATGAGATTAGTGGGGTAACTGATCTCATTTGTAAGGTAAATTGGTTTTTATGTGATTGGCCAATCTTGGTCGGAAATTTGAATTTTAACAGACAAAACACCAATGTCTTCCTGTGATTTCATAATCCTGGTGTGCACAAGCATGGCCACACACACACCCCATTATAAAGGCATGACAAACTATGATAAACTAAGTGGTATCCCAAACAGATGATAATCTACAGGCTGTTTTACAAATGTAGAACACAGATTACATTTTTTCAGGTAGAGGCAAAAGTTATTATTTCTCCATCTCTGCTAAATTCATTTATCTTCTTAAGGCTTTCACAGAAAGCACCATTTCATGAACAGGCAATTCAGTACCCAGACTTGGACTGGAGAATTAACAGGACTGAGGTCTTGATGCAGTTCATAAAAAAACAATTAAAAAGAAAAAGCATCAAAAAACCACATTTAAAATAAGCTGTCCATATAGAAAGACTGAAGTGTTGAGAAGTTCCCAGCTTATATTCTACAGAGTACTGAAAGGTTTAATGTTAGCAGCCCGTGAAGTACGTGTAGTGAGGAGAAAGAGTCTGAGAACCAACTTAACACCCTTGTTTTCCCCATTCCTTGGGTGAAAGAAACAGTGGCAGTCTACAATTTCTCCTCATGATTTTGTAATGGTCAAATCTTTACATCTTGGGATTCAACCATCTTGGCAAGTGTCTTCTTGATTCTCAATGCTGTGAGCCTAGAGGCTGGATTGTGGGCCCAGCATTCTGACATTAGCTTCAAAACTGCTCGTAGACACTGAAAAATAAGAGAAGTCGTGAGCAGATAAGCATCTCTGCCAAGACTATCAATCACTTTCTTAGAAGGCTGAATTACACTTACTTCATCACTGTTCCATCGATTAGACACAACTGGCCGCAACCGTTTGACACACACAACCTCACGCATATCTTCATAAGAAGGATCACTGGGTACCATGTTGTAATACGGCAATTGGTACTCTTCCACAATGCCTGTAAAGAATTTAAAAACATACTGGGCACAAAAATGGTGACTGGATAAAATATTTCTATACAGCATTTCTCACTAAATGATGAAACTAAGATATTACTACATAAAGAATTAAAAAAAAAAATTATAGAGTTAACAATTCACTTTCAATAGTTACTACATGTTCTTCTCTTGTCTTACGTTCAATTATTTCTCTACCTCCATAAAGGTCTCTACTACAACTGTGATATATTCTATCCACAAAGAGGGTATCACCAATATCTCTTAGAAAAAGGAAGGTGAACTTGCTCACTTTTCCTAATTTTTTAATCTATTTTCTTACACGGCTGCTTTACTAATAAATATGGCTAATTTTTGTTTTGTAGTAAAAAGACTTAACATACTGTGCAGGAGAGTTAGGATAGTGGATTTGAGGGTGTCATCCTTAGAAAGGGACGCTTGCAAGGTTGGGCCCTGGGGTTGGTACCTGGGAACTTGATTGGTAAGCAGTTCCACAGCAATATAAAACTTCCTCAAAATGTCAGAGTAACTTTCTGTGGCTAAACTGTTTGCACAAACACTGGTTTATGCTGACCACCTGCTCTCCTTGTGGGAGTCTGGAAGGTTGGTGTATGCCAGGCAGAAGATGACTGTATGGTCAGTTCCTGATAAGAAGTCTGGGTGTCAAGTCTCTAACTAGGTTCCCTGAAGGCAGGATTGACCACATGTGATCACAGTTGGTTCCTGGAGGACTTAAGCATGTCCTTTGTGACTCCACTGGGAAAGGACTTTTGGAAACATGAAAACAATCCAGGAACAAACTAAAACCTCATTGCTGCTGAGTTAATTCAGGTTCACAGTGATCTTATAGGACAGGGTACGGGACAGAGGAGAACTGTCTCATAAGGTTTCCAAGGCTGTAATCTTTATAGAAGTATTTTCCCATCTCTTTCTCTCCTGTGGAGAAGCTGGTGGGTTGAACTCCTGATCTTTCGGTTAGCAGAGGATAGAGCATAACTTAACCACGGCTCCACCAGGGTTCCTTTGGGGAAGAATATGCCTGGTTTATCTTTTCGCTTTAGTCAATCTTAGTCATGAGTATGTGAAAGCCTGTGAATTCTTATAGAGAATCACTGAACCTAAAGGTGTACTTTGGACATGTTAGCAGGAGGGACCAGTTCCTGGAGAAGAACATCATGCTTGGTAAAGTGGGGTCAGTGAAAAAGAAGAACATTCTCAATGAGACGGGCTGACATCGTGGCTCCAACAATGGGCTCAAACGTAGCAATGACTGTGAGGATGGCGCAAGACCAGGCAGTATTTCGTTCAGTTTTATGTAGGGTCACTGTGAGTCAGAAGCAAAGTGATGGCACCTGACATGACAGTAACAGAAGCGGACTTGGGGTGCCCTAACTCACATACCATTTAAATAACTACAACTGTTATTTTTTAAATAATGGGTATACAAGTATAACCAGTACCACAATACCCCAAATTCCTACCTCCTGTGATACAACGACGAGCCATTTCCCAAATGATCAGGCCAAAGCTATAGATGTCAGCCATTATGTATGGTTGGAAATGGTTTTTATTCAGGCTTTCATCTAACACTTCTGGAGCCATATAGCGCTTGGTGCCCACCCTGGTATTCAAGGGCACATCAACTTCATTTGTGTCACTGAAAGAACAGAAAGACAACATACCTGTTGAGGTTGATAAAATAGGTAATCTTGTATTTTGTCACATTGTGTAACTGTCTTTTCTCTATGTCTCCACAGTCTTTTATCAGAAATTCTTGAGGCCAGATGTATTTTAAAATCTAGAATCCTTTACTTTTACCATTCTCAGTTATTCTTGGGTTTAAAAATTATAGATAGGGATTAAGAATTTATATATGCTACATATTATGTAACTGCCCAATTGGGTCTCTGGAACAATACTCTTAACTCAATATTACGTCTGCAGTAAAACACCGCTAGAGACTCACAGCAAACCTGTAGAGATTTTCTGAGGAGTGGATGGTAGGTTTGAAACCTTGACCCTTGAGGTTAATAGTCCAGTACTAAGTCTGAATATTTATACTAAGCTGAATAAATAAAGACAAATACATTACATAATTTTCAGGTCAGGTTTTTGTCACCAAACAAGTTTGGTGCTTAAGGAAAGAAGACAGTACTAAATTTAAGCAAAAGAATATGTCCCTGAAAAAAAGAATGTGAAATTAAATTGACAGGAATCATTTACTTTTACCATTCTCAGTTATTCTTGGATTTCAAGATTGTAGATAGGGATTGAGAATTTATGTGAAAAATTCCACTAAACAGCACTCTAAAATTTCTGCCAAAATCAGTCTTCAGTTACACCATTATTTAATTTTCCATATTTAGGTTTGGGACTGATTTTACTTTTGTAGTGTCATGAAAAGAACGTTGCTGTTAGGTGCCACTGAAGTGGTTCCTGCTCCTAGCAACACTGTATAGGGTTTCTGAGGAGGAGCTGATGGGCTTAAACTGCCGACCTTGCTGCTAGAAGTCCAGTGCTTATCCTACAGTGCCACACAAGGGACTCCATGGGAAGAATACCAGAATAAAAAAATTTTACAACTGTGTTCATTCTCTCCTGTTGTGTATGCTCAAAAAATTTATGGTAATAACAAAAATCTTACAAAATAAAAGACTCGACCTCATGCTGCTTACAAATTAGTACAAAAGGCAGTCATATATGTAATAGCTAAAAGGTTAAACATCATATTCTATTTTAGCTTTGTTATTAGTTGTATATAATGCAAGGAGTTGTTAGAAAGTTTGTAAAAATTCCATTTTTCCATGAACTTTTTGAAGCCCTCTCACAGGTAACCATAATTTTATCTGGCTAGGCCATTTTCTTCCTTGTTTTTGAGTCACCTATGTAGAAGGGGAATTAAAGCCAGGGCATAGAGGCTGTCACCTAAGGAGATGCTGTTGTTGTTGTTATGTGCCGTGGAGTCGGTTCCGACTCACAGCGACCCTGTACAGGGTTTCCGAGGTTGTAAATCTTTATAGGAGCAAGAAAGCCTCATCTTTAAAGGAGGCTAAAGAAAGCCTTGAGAAGATTCCACATGTGATTATCAATAAGCCTGCAAAGAGGGAGCAAAGGAGCATGTGGAGAAGCACAGAGAAACCCAGAGTGTTATGCCACAGAAACAAAGAGAAGCAAGTATCAAGGAGAAAAGAGTCAACACTGCTGAATACCGCTGAGGTTAAGTAAGTTGACAACTAAAAATAGTCTTCAGATTTATCAACATGAAGACAGGTCAATGACAACCTTAATAAGAGATATTTCAGTGGAATGAACAGAGTGGGTTGAGGAACAAACAGAATGAAAAGTAACACAGTTGAAAAAGATTACTACCCACTTATCCATAAGGAAGAAAAAAAATGACTCCAGGAAATAAAGAAGTACAATGAAATAGAAGTCTAAGAACAAGGAAAATATTGAATGTAAGAAACTAGTGGTAGTCTTAGGAAAAGCAAATGGAAAAATAAAAATTAAGAGAGGAAGCAGTTACTTTTCCCATTTTCATGCGATAAGTTCAGCCTTCATGACAGAGTAACACTTTCTTCTTTATAAGTCCAATCACACTACTTAGTTCTGTTGCAATTTTTACATAATCATATTGAAAATTTGTAATAAATGATGCATAGTGATTTTTCAATTTTTAGACTAAATTTAAGATTGTAAGGCATGAATGCTTTGTTGCTTCATGCTTTTACAGATGCTGGATACTATAAAGCAGATGTTAATATTGCATTATATTTTCTTATATAGCAGCTAATGAACATTTGGGCCAACGAACACTACAATGAGGGAAAACAACAGAAATGATTTAGAACACAGTAATAACCAGTGGGAAGCAGGCTTAAATGTTTCTCTCTCCCTTTTTTTTATACTTTGTGCCTATATGGTCTACCACATTCATGGATCTATTTGCAACACAGGTAAATCCATGCCTAGAAATAACCTCTGTCAAACCCACAACTTAGAGAGTTGTTCACATTTATTGTATGGACGGAAATAAACTCTGAAATGCTAAATAGCTACAGCATTCTAAAGTTGCAACAACATCAAAATGATTTAAAAGGTTTGGTAAATCAACTAACTGTTGAAAAATACTGACAAAATCAAGTGGGATGGAGAAATGGCATACTTATACCCCGTTTGTAAGAGTGTAGATTGATGGTTTCTGAAAGGATCATGTGCAGTATGCCACATGTAACCACCGGGTACAAACCCTTTGTCTGATCTTTCCTCCTCTCAAAATCCATCTTAAAGCGCTTGTAAACATATATATACACATAAAAATGGCATCACTGTTAATTAAAGCACTTTTGTAATGATAGAGATAAACTAGAGACAATCTTGTTGCTGTTAAGTGCTGTCGAGTTGATTCAGACTCATTGCCACCCTGTATAGGGTTTCTGAGGAGCAGCTGGTGACGCTTGCTTGAACTGCTGACTTTGTAGTCCAGCGCATTAGCTCACAGCACCACACCAGGACTCCAGAAACAATCTTAGCGTCCACTACTTAGGCAATAATTTGGATAAATTATATGAGTACTTCCATACTGAGGACAATTTTACATCAGTTATAAAAGAATATGGAGGATATGTCCTGGTGTGGTGCTGTAGGTTAAGCACTGGACCGCTAACCACGAGTCTGGCAGTTCAAACTCCTGGGGAACCTTATACAGGGTTCTCTATGAGTTGGAACTGACTCGACACTTAACAACACATAAACTGAAATGGAGCGATGTCTTAAGACAATACAAAGCAGGAAACTTGATCAATATGCATAACAGAATGCAAGTTTTGTAACAAACAAAACAAAAAAACAACTATGAGTGTAACTGCTGTGTTATTAAGTGCCCTCAAGTTGGCTCTGACTCATAGTGACCCTTATTGAGTTTCCATGGAGTGGCTGGTGGGTTTGAACTGACAACCTTGCAGTTTTGCTTCTGCTAGCTGTCCAGTGGTGTATCCCTGGTAGTGCAGTGGTTACAAATCGGGCTGCGAACCGCAAGGTCAGCAGTTCAAAACTACCAGCTGCCCCATAGGAGAAAGATGAGGCTTTCTGCTCTCATAAAGATTTACAGCCTTGGAAACCCTGTACAGGGTTGCTACGAGTCAGAGTCGGAGTCGGAACTGACTCCACAGCACATAACAACAACAGCAGTAGTCCAGAGCTTATAGTAACTATATATTAATATAAGTATATGAACACTTGCACAAATTTTTAGAATTTCATCAGCCTGACTACAAATAAGCAAATATCTTTTAGAAATTCAAATAATTTCAAAACAGCTACTCACCTGTTGAATTTAACAGCAAGGCCCAGATCTGCAATACAGCAACTTCCATTCCTCTTGATAAGGATGTTTTTGCTTTTCAGGTCTCGATGAGCAATTGCAGGCTTTCCTTGGGTGCCATAAATTTCTGTGTGCAAATGGCACAGGCCGCAGGCAGCTGAGTAGGCCAACTTGAGCAGAGCTCTGGTGTCCAGTGTGGCACACTTCAGGAAGTCATAGAGAGATCCATTTTCATGGTAGTCAGTAATCAAATAAAGCTGAGTCCAAGAACCTGTGCCTTTAATGTCTGCTGCTATAAAACCTGAAGGATTAGTGAATTTAAAAGGTTAGTTATCATCAGAGGTGATGACTGCTCATTCAGGAGACTGAGAACAAGCTAGGTAGTGAAAGAGATGATATAAATTTAAACTGTCTGACATTAAAAATCACTTGAATTCTTGCCAAAAACTGTATTTCTACCACTAACATACAAAACTATGCTTTTGCATTACATGTAAACAACAAAATACAAACCAATAATCATGAAAATGATACTATAATGACTGAGAAACAGTGTAAGATCACATTACCAGCTGACAATGAGTCAATTCTGACTTGTGGAGCGACTCCATGTTATATCATAGTACAACGTGCTCCACAGGGTTTCTCACTTCTCAGAAGTCAAACACCAGGCCGTTCTTCTTAGGCACCTCTAGGTGGATTCAAACCTCCAACCTCCCGGTTGGTAGACGAATTCATTAATGGTTTGCCCCACCCAGGGATTCCGTACGGTCATATCATATAATAATCTGGGAAATGTTCTCAATCTACATGATTCTCTTATGTAAAACTATGAAGGAAGAATGTGGGAATGTTCTCAATTTCAAATAGAAAAGTGAATACTTTAGAATAATAAAGCAAAAAATGTTCAAAGCTCTTAAGCTAAGTCAAGTCTCATTTAACACCTTATCAATATTTGCCTTTCCAGGATGGCTTACTGACTGGCAGATCCACATACTTCTTCCTCTTTTCTTTTGTTTTTCTCAGATCCTTCACTGCCAAAAAAAAAGGTCACTGATTGCCTACTCGTACTACTGTCCTACACACAATTCCAAATTAAAGGGTAGGGAAATAGTAGTTGGGAAAAAAAAAAAATCTATAGAACTTGATCAGTTTATGCAGCCTACTGGTCAAATCAAAACTATTTTGCTATCGTGTTAAGAATGGGAAAAAGTATGCTATGCATAAAACATTCAATGAAGTTGTACCTTATGGGAGAGAGGTGTTTAGCTTATAAAAGATATAAGGTACATCTAGTTTTAAATTACCTTAGAAATTTGCCTAAATTACTTATAAAACACTTTTTTTTGTTAACTATGGTAAGTCAATAAAGTATTTTTTTCAGTGTTGTAACTCACTGCTGTCTCTTTAGTTGTGAAGTAAATAAAGTGGTTAGTTGGCATTGGGGATTGTGTTGTGTTTAATCTGTGCATTCTATTGAGTTTCCTATATAGTGAAATTTACACATGTGAATTCACAAAATGCTTAAAAAGCCCTTAAGGTAGGCTTCCACCAGCATACCTCTAACCTTGTTAGAACATGTAACTGACTAGAATCAAATCAAATCAAGTCAAGTCAAACTTGTACTCACCAAGGATATTCTCATGGCGCATAAGCACAGTTTGGTAGATTTCAGTTTCTCTAAACCAGCTAGCTTCTTCAGTGGTAAAAAACACTTTGACTGCAACTTTTTCACCACGCCATCTACCCATCCACACTTCTCCATATCGGCCTTTACCAACTTGCCGAACCATCTGAATCTGTTTGGCAATAGTTCGCTGAACCTTCATTTAAAAAAGTAAAAGGATTTGAACTCTTCACAGAAAGAACTTATTAAGACTAAGAAACTGGTCTAATTATCCATTCCCTTGAAAAAGCATGGGACATGCAACCAAATGACCAACTCCGATGTTGTAATACTTTCCCCCTCCCTGTAGACATGCCATTGGGTAATATCCTTCCACATGCTTGGCCACATGACTTGTATCTGACAATAGAATAGCATATGTGACTTAAGCAAAGACTTGAAAGTGTTTGTGCACTGGACTATGCATGAAATATAGTAAGTGCTTATTAAATATTTGTTGAATAAATGAAAGATGCGTATTAACTACTACCTTTTACTTTCAGAAGTATTAGTATCATTCTAAATTTAAAAGACCAGTGTTCTAGAAATCAAACAACATTATCGGATTGGGCAAATCTGCTGTAAAAGTGTTAAAAATAGAAGATATCAGTTTGAGGACTAAGGTGCATCTGATTGAAAGCCACAATATTTTAATCACCACATATGCCTGCAAAGGAGCCCTGGTGTGGCGCTGTGGGTTAATGTGCCAGAGCAGACTGCAAAGCCGTCTGAACTGCAAGGTCAGCAGTTCAAGCTCACCAGAGCTGCTCCTTGGAAACCCTATACAGGGACGCTATGGGTTGGGATCGACTTGACGGTACTTAACAACAACATGCCTGCAAAAACTGGACAATGAAATAAGATTGGAGAATTGATGCCTTTTAATTATGGTGTTGGCAATAAAAAATTCTGAATAGACCATTGAGTGCCAAAAGAATGAATAAATCTGTTTGGGAAGGAGTACAGCTCGAATACTCCTTAGTAATAACATGGATGGCATGACTTTGTCTCACATACTTTGGACAGGCTATAAGGAAGGACCAATTCCTGGAGGATATCATACTTTGTAAATAAAAAGGTCAGCAAAAAAAGTAGACGTCTCAATGAGATGTGGACACTGTGGTTGCTACAGTGGGCTCAAACAGAGCAACCATTGTGAGGATGCAGTGTTTTGTTCTGTTGTGCACAGAAGTACTGTGAGTTGGACCCGATTCAAAGGCACCGAAAAATAACATGTTCCAGGTTGGAAATGTATCTTACAGAAAATCATTTTGCTTTTACTGTCAGTTGTTTTCAAGCTGTATAAACACTGAGACTAATGAATGAGGGCTGACCAGATCAAGATGGAATACCTGTGGGCTGATGCTGACTAAGCCTTGAAAAATGAAGGCTTAGGGAGCTTCCTGGTGAGTGACAGGATATCAGTCCCACACTATGATTCCTCCCAGACCTCATTCTCTGACTCTCCTCTTCATTTTAATCTTTTGTTTGTGATTGCAGTTATATTGGTTCCTGTGAGTTCTGTGCATGGTTCCAGTGAACCCTAGGAGGATACAAAAGTGTACTAGAGTGGGCTGGTCTGAAATAGAGGGAGCCATATGGGCTCCTGAGCCTGTAGCTGTTACCCATTTACCTAGCTCCAGGTAGATGGGGATCAGAGTGAGAAGGACTGTGTGAGCAGCTGGCGTTTGAACTGAGCAAGTAGAGAAAGCTGAGATTTCCAAAGGACTCAATTGGCATGCAACGTGGGATTTGTTATCCAGCATACAAATGGCATCAAAAGTGGGTCACCTTTGTCTCCCTGGACTGATTTGTACAATATACCTAAAATAACTTACTTCATAGATCATTTCTTATAGAATCTCCTTAAAATCTTAAAAGTTAGCATTACTGAGATTTATTTACATGCAATAAAAGTCACCCTTTCTGGGTACAGTTCAGTAAGTTTTGACAAATGAATATAGCCATTTAACCATCAAAACCACACTTGGGATAAAGACATTTCCATCATCAAAAAGTTCCCTTTTTTCTTTGAAATCAATCCCTTCTTCATCCATCCCCACCCCTGACATCACTGATCAGTGTTTTGTTCGAACAGTAATGTCTTTTCTAGAATATCATAATAATGAAGCTACAATATGTATAGGTTTTTGTGTCTGGTTTTGAAATTCACTCACATTACTTTATCAGTTCATTCTTTTTTATTGCTGATTAATATGTTACTCCATAAATATATCGTATATTACTTATTCAATTACCAGCTTATGAGCTTTGGGGTTGTTTTCATGTACCTCTATAATTAACCAAGTTACTATGAGAATGCACACTGAGGTCTTTGTGTGAAAGCTTTCATTTCTTTGTAGCAATTTTGAACATTTTGTGCTTTCAGTGAAGTGTCAAAGCAGTTTAGTCTTCATTCAACAATTTCTATACAAATTGTTCACTGACTTTGGTTACATTCTTTACAATGACTGAACATTTTCATTATTTCTATCCTCATTGTTTCATTAGTGGCTGTACCATTCTGAATTCCCAATTGCATATAAGACACGCATAGAAAAGCAAATAAATCTTACTTAGATAGCACAGTAGCTTCACAGACTGAACATACCCATGTATCCAATATCTAATTTGTAAATGTATTACTGTGTTTTGGTAGGAAAGTATCACATTGAAGACAGTGTCCTCTTTAGGGTGATCAGTGAGAATTAAGTTTCAATTTCCAAATCTCTAATAGGTATACTTCCAATTAGTTCAACCTTATTAGATACAAGGATCTTATATCAGATTTCTCTTCAAGATGGCTAATAAAAAGTTTAGAGCAAAAGTTGCTGAGTTACTCGAGCAGTTATACAGAATATTGTGAACACAAGCTTCTTTACTGCTTCACCTGTGACTCTATCTTACTTCATGTCTTTGGTGTTACTGGTTTTATTCCCTGTAGACCATTATTGTTTTTGTTGTTGTTAAGTGCCACAGAGCCCGTTCCAACTCACAATGACCCTGTATAGGGTTTCCAAGAAGCAGCTGGTGGGTCTGAACTGCTGACCTTGCGGTTCGCAGCCCAATCCAGTGCTCATCCTGTAGTGCCACACTCACCATATGAGGCCACATTCTCTATCAATACAGGATTCAGGTTCATATGAAATTCTGTCTTACCAATAAAGGTAGTCCAGATCCACTACCAGAGCTTTGTGACTGGTCAATAAGGTCTTTTAATGATTCTCCAACTGGAATAAATGCTTCATCTTGCTCCAAATCACGATTATAACGACGTCTGTTTGAGATGCTCTTGCAATATTGTCTTTTAGAAAAGCAGGAAAGAATTGATATTAAAATATTGTAATTACAAAATTTGATATAAACCTTGAGATTGTTTATACCATTATCTTTCCTTTGGACAGATTTCATGCCCAAATGAACTCTTATCAGGTTATAAAATATGTCTAGAAATGAAGTTTATCAGGTAAAGTCCTATATATCTCGTTAAAATGGGAAGACACCCATGGTATTGTCAAGTGAAAAAGGCAGATTAAAATCAGCATGTAAAGTAGGCTCCCACTTATAGAAAATTAAAATAAGTATGTGTTTTTTACATATGACTAAATAGCTTTGAAAGGATGCAGGGTTAAGTGAGAAGTAATAACTATTGATGCAGATATAAAAGGATTCACTTTCTATTTTGCACACATGTGATACCTAAGGTTCTGTGTCAACCTGATGTTTGATAGTTGAGATGCAGTTATTCCCCATGATGAGATCTAATAAAATGTAGTCAAGTCTAGGATGAGGTCTGCTGTGAGTAGTCAATCAACTGAAGGGTAGCTTTCTCAGGGGTGTGGCTTGCTTCCAATATGCAGATTTTCAGGCAAGGGTTGCTTACTCTATGTTGGGTCTGGATCTTATATGCTGACCCTGGGAGTCATCAGCAGCTTAACCTTCTTACCTGCCAGACCTGCCTGTCTACCTACCATCTGTCCTGCCTGCCAATCTTGGTTCATCAGCCCTACAGTTGAGTGAGTCAGAAGCTTCTAACTCACAAACTTGGGACTACGCATCTCTACAACTGTGTGAGCCATTTCAGTAATCTAAACCTCTGTATACACCTACATATAAGGAACTCTGATAGCATAGTAGTTACGAGTTGGGCTGCTAACCTTAAAGTTGTTGTTGGTGGTGGTTCCGACTCATAGCAACCCTGTACAGGGTGGTTAGCAGTTCGAAATTACTAGCTGTTCTGTGGGAGAAAGATGAGGCTCTCTGCTCCCATAAAGATTTACAGCCTCAAGAAACCATGTGCAGGCTTGCTATGAGTCTGAACCGACTCCACAGCACACTGCCACCACCACACGTACATATATGTATATTTCACTGGTTTTGATTCTTTACAGATTGTAGCCTAGGAGATTTAGTACCGAGAGTGGTATTAAATATAAGTTAGTATTTTTATAACAAAACAAAATGTATTTCCATAATGAAAAAAGAGTACAGTACTTTAAATATCAAACAAATTCTCTTATCTCTTAATAGTTCATTCTGATATTTTTTTGACTGCTCACATAAACTTGTCAAATGATCAAATATTTCCAACAGGAAGATGGAGATTAATTGCAGTGATGTGTACATCATTTCAATTTACACATATATCTTTTATATATATTGTAAAACCTTCAAAAACTGGAACCTCTGTAAGGTAGAAACCTGCCAGAATGGTCAACTCAAACATTTCCCACCACGACAAGAAAATGAAAGCTGCACTCTGTCAATGGTAGAAAACAAGGCAGTTGTGCCCAGTGCTGGCTCCCCCACGTTTCACTGTATCTGTTTATTTTTAATTACGTTTGGTTTGGGTTTTGGTCTGCTTTATTTCACTGTGTTTTAAATAAATATTTCACAAATATTTGAAATTCAAACCATTTCCCTGATAATTCCATTTTTATCTTTTTCTCTACTTGTCTGAAGGTGGTCATATCTTATCTATTATTTGTACGCACTAGACTACAAGGCCAGTTTTAACCATAAGGTTGGCAGTTCAAACCCACCAGCCACTCTTCAGAAACCCTATACAGTGTCATTATGGGAACCAACTCAACGGCACTTAACAACTACATAAAAATGTATATTCATAAACAATATAGTTTTTGTATGTAAAAATGTACATGTTATTTTGTTTTGTTAGGTGCCATCGAGTCACAGAAACTCTGTATAGGGTTTCCTAGGAACAGCTGGTGGATCTGAACTGCCAATCTTGTGGTTTGCAGTCCAGTGCTGACCCTACAGTACCACACCATTAGTCCAAAAATGTACACAATTGGCATATATTACATTACTATTTTACACATTATCCATGTTGATCCATGTAGAACAACTTATTTTTTATCAATGCTGAATGTGTCATGCACTGTTTTACAAGTTTCTCTCATTTTCTTTATAAAACTCCTTTAACATAAGTAGCCATTAATTTACTTTGTTCATTCTAGACGTTTCACAAAATGAAATCACTTAATATTTGTCTGCTTGTTACTGACTTATTTGACTTAGCATTATGTTTTCAAGGTTTATCCCTGCTTTAATAGCTTTTAAGTCATCTATAGATTCCTGCTGTGGTGCTGTAGGATCAACACAGGACTGCAATCCACCAGGTTAGTGGCTGAAACCCACCAGCCACTCGTTGGAAACCCTGTACAGGGTCACTAAGAGTCAGAACTGACTCAACAGCACTAAACAACAACATAAAAGTGAGATTGAGGGGTGAACTCTCACGTTTACTTTGTAAGCATCTGTATTGCTAAACCTTTCTACAATGGAATTGTTGTTGTTGTTATGTGCCGTTGAGTTGATCCCGACTCATAGCGACCCTGTGTACAGGGTTTCCGAGGCTGTAAATCTTTACGGGAGCAGAAAGCCTCATCTTTCTCCCGCAGAACAGCTGGTAGTTTTGAACTGCTGACCTTGCGGTTCGCAGTCCGATTCGTAACCACTATGCTATCAGAGTTCCTTGTGCTATATTACTGTAATAATCTTAAGAGTAAAAAAAAAAGAGAAAACATTTAAAACAAGATAGGAGGTGAGAAGAGCATGACTTAGAAAATAGTTTTTTTTAGAACAAGGCATAACACTAAATGATGATAAACACTTCACAACTTTCTTCTCAATTACGACTAAAGGTCCTAAATCATAAAAGAACCACTTTATAGTTGGTTTCTTGGGACAAATTTAAAATTCAGATACATGAAAGTTCAACATTCCATTAATAAGAAAATTGTAAATACTCATGAACACACATAAACATAAATAATAATAAAATGGTATCCAAATAATTCATTGGTAATGAGAAACTTGTTTCCCTTATAAAACTACCATTAGTTAATGAGAAATAACTAGCGAATGCAGGTTACCAGTTTGTGTATGACAGATGGTCAGTGGTTTTGGCCATTGGCTTTAAGACAACTGTTGATAAAGTATTCACTATTTTGCATCTTTTTAGTGTAAGTCTATCCAGTGGTCTTGAACAAATATTCAGTGGTCTTAAACAAATATTCAGATGAATCTTACTTGTAACAAAAGCAGCTGAAGAAGATGATCATCGCAACTATGCAGACAGTCATAGAAATGAGCACAACCAGCCACCGAACACTGTTATCGAAAAATGGACCTGACAACAGAAGTAAACATGTTATTTTTCTATCGCCACTCATTATTTTAAATCGTTTGTCTATTGTTGAAATCATAGAAATAATCTTTCTCAGATAATGTACCTATAACAACAGGTGGCAGTGTAGGTTGCAAATACTGGTTACATAAATTGGTCCGGCAACATTCTATTGTTCTTCGTAGCTGGGCTTTTGGTGAATCCTAGAGAGAGCAATGATAAAATTAGAAACATTTTAACACACAAAACTGATAAAAGAGTTATTTAGAAAATACATTTTCTAATTCAGTGAGTGAAAAGGATATTCAAATTTAGATACAAAAAAGTATTGGAAATTTGGTCAATTTTTTGCTGAAATATTACTGTGAAAACAGCAAATATTTCCCAAAGGAAAATCTATGTATGTAGATAGTGTTAAAATTATAAACATATTTGTGTTTTCTAACCCAGACTTTGGCATAAATATTTATTAAATAATTAAAATTAAGAATAAAAATTCTACTAAATTTTCAATAAGAAAGTAATTACTTTAAGGTCATACACCTTTTCTTAAACAGCATGGGTAATAAAATAAATTTAATTATAAAACTGTTTTTGTTAAGTGCCGTTGAGTTGGTTCAGACTCAGCAACCCTGTGTAGGGTTTCCAAGGAGTGACTGGTAGGTTTGAACCACCCCCTTGTAATTAGCAGTTGAATGCTTATCCAACAGCACCAGACCTGCACTCCAAACTATAAAAAGGATCTCACAGCAATATTATGACCTAAATGGGTGAAATTTAAAAAGGTATTCCTAGTCAAATGAAAAGTCTGGTAAGGAGAAGTGGTGAAGAAGGGCAGCAAATACTGTAGATACTGTATGCAAATCAATAAACCTGAAGTTGTGGCATAAATGGATGAGGGAAAAGGACAAAACACAGAAATATTCCAGAAAGTTTATTGGCGACTACCACCAGATGTGTACCTTAATAGAATAGAAAACTGGAACAGAGAAACAGCCTGTAGTCTTAGAAAGGACCAGATATAGAGCAGCAATCAGAAACAATTATGTATGACATTTTATTTGATTAACAGGGATAGTATTTGACCTGTTCTTTATGTGAATGCTGACATTTCAACACTGCCTGGGAGAACTGCCATTCTGAACTAGTACTTAAAAACTGTCAATGGAAAAGTGGTAAGAATAAAAGCAGAAATTAAGCATGCTATCTTTTACTAAGGAGCTCTGGTAGTGTAGTGTTTACGAGTTGGGCTGCCAACCTCAAGGTCAGCAGTTCAAAACTACCAGCGGTTCCATGGGAGACAGATGAGGCTTTCTGTTCCCGTAAAGATTTACAGCCTCAAACCCTGTGCAGGGTCACTTTGGATCGGAACTGACTCCACAGTACTTAACAACAACAATCCTTTAATATGGGATCATCAGAAAGGGAAAGTCTCAGTACAATCAATGTTACTTTAAAAAAGGTGCATTTGAGTTCATGATTTTAAGACTCTGTAAGGGAATAAAGGGGCAAGAACATTCAGAAACCTTCAAAACAACAAGTTATATTTTTAACTGAAATTTCAACTTTTTACTAAAAACAGATTTTACTTTTAAAAACAATCATAAAAATGAAGAGAGAGATGTATGTCAGCAGTTAAACTGGCAACTATACAGTAACCCTAGATTTAGAGAAAACTTATATAAAGAATGGAATGAAAAGCATATCACTCAAGGTGACTAAAAGCCATACCAAGTACGTGAGGATAGTGCCAGGAAGGCTAAAAAGACATACCAAGTACGTGAGGATAGTGCCAGGAAGGCTAAAAAGACATACCAAGTACGTGAGGATAGTGCCAGGAAGGCTAAAAAGTCATACCAAGTACATGATAGTGCCAGGAAGGCTAAAAAGCTCAAAACAGATTTGTTGTTGTTAAGTGCCGCCGAGTTGGTTCCGACCCATTACGACCCTGTATAGGGTTTCTGAGGAGCAGCTGCTGAATTTGAACCACCAACTTTGTGGTTCAAACTCACCTTACAGTTCAGTGCATTAACTCGCAGCGCCATACCCGGACTCCAAAATGGGTAGTCTCGCAGAAAATACAAAAGACAACCAAGAAAGGGTATCTTTGGCAGTACTTAGAGAAAGACGACCAAGCAATAGATCGAGTAGTTATGTAACCACAGACAATGGAGGGCAAAGAGAACATACAATTCTTTGCTCCTGTGTTGCTTTACTTCCCTATCAAGATGATTATAGGAGTGAAGCAGACAGAACAGTACCAGTAAGTGACAACTGATATTCCAGATTATGAAGTGATCCTGCAATGCCTGTGATATTCTATGAGCTCATATCTTCTAGGTAAATTATGTATATCCCTGGAACATGAAGGTACTTATAAAGAAAATGTCTGGAAGATAGGTGTGATTTAAGGACTGTAGAAACAAAGAATGTTGGAAACTAGATTGCTAAATGTCCAATTTTCCTTTAAAAGATAGACTAGATTTTGCCAACAACAGACTGTAGGCAGCACTCTATGCTGGAAAAGGAAGGGCTGTTCAATCAAATAGCTTAAACAACACCTTTGCCACTTGGTGACCCCCCCAGCAACTAACTTCTCTCTGGGCTTTAGTTTCCTCTGCTATAAAATGAAGGATAAAAACTTTTGCCTGTAAGGATGAGTGTGAGAAAATAAGGTACAGTATACCTAAAATGCAAATAACCAACACCCAATATATTGATTCTTTTTTCTCTGGTGAGCTTGACAACACTTATTTCAGACAAGGCGGTAAAATAAGACAGGAAAATCTGTAAATACCTATTGTTGTTAAGTACCATTGAGTTGGTTCCTATTCATAGTGACCCTGGTACAGGGGTTTCTGACGAGTAGCTGCTGAGTTTGAACCACCAACCTTGCAATTCTTACGACCCTGAAGTCCAGAGGTTATCCAATAGCATCACATTAGGACTAGAAGACTCAATATGGTTTCACCAGAAATAAACAACATCACACTCACCTCTATTTGTCTTTCATAGATTAGCTGTGTTATCTGGATAGGCCAAAACCTTTATAGAATTGGATAACACACTCTTTCCCCTCTCCTGCACTCTCCCTCCAGCTCAACCCCCATTCAAATCCATTTGCACCTCCAAATTTATATGGGGAATAAAAATCCTTGTTGGGGAAAAAATTCACATAGCATTCATGAAATAGGAGAGACTCTAGCTTAAATCATAAGGCTGGATGGAGAGAGGGGTGCATGAGGAAGGAACTGAAGTCAAAGTCAAACAACGCAGTGAGGTTTCTGAGAAATTACCCTTCCTACGTATAGAAATAGAAGAAACTGGATTTGCTAGGAGAGATCAGGGGTTGGAGGGAAAATCAAAGTCTGGGCAAACCAATGATTGCCACTTGAGTCTGTTCTGATCCAAACCTGGCTGTTTGTGTAATACTGGGAAGAAGAAAAGGTTTAGCATAAAATTTAAAGTGCTGTTCTCCTCAGGTTAGGTGCTAAATTAGTGGCTAGTCACAGTTACCAAGTAAAATTTAGGAATAGTGATATTTACCAAGATAAACTTATCTTAAAAAAAAAAATGTTTTTTTTTTTAATGTTTTGTGTATTGTGTGACAGTCTACATGGGGGAACATTAATTTTACATTCCTTCCATCATACATCATCTCACTGCCAAAGTTACCATCCTGTCCATGCATCATCACCCAACCAAAGGGTATACCCTGCAATCCTGCCCGCACTCCC